GAACACGGTAGAAAGAGTGTTGGCCAGCCTTGTGAATCACACACTATGTGCCCCCACAATGCCTCTCTCCCCCTAGGAACTGGTTTCTGCCTCAGTGGGACATGGGTCCAGCCCCCCAGCTGGGGGCTGGCAAAGGTAGTCTAAAGATACTTCCTGGTTCTACCAATCCAGTCTTCAGTCACTCACCCAAGTTGTCTTCTCGAACAGACCTATCCCATCCCACTGGGTGTGGGCTGCCGGAAGACTGGCAAATAATAAAGGGATGAACTGTGGCTGAGAAAAACGCAAGAGGGGATTAGGGTCCTCTAAGCTAAGTGGGGTGGAGGAGAGACCAGAATTCATCACACACGATGTGTTGTGTGCATGGGTGTTCTCCCTCTACGTTAATAACGCCCGTCCTGCCCGGAGAGGTGGGCACTCAGCAGAGCAGGGGGCGGCTCCTTCCTCGGGATGCCCATGCAGCTCCCTCGAACGCCCTACACATGGCACCCTGGGTGGGAACTGGCTTCCAGCGGGCACTAGACCTCCGACTGCCTAGTTCCCCACTGTGCGCCCAAATCTTCCCGTAGAGCTTGGGACAATGCGACTTCTCAAAATACACAGGAGGGGAGAGAGCACGTCTTTCTCCCCCGAGTGGGGATAAGAGAATGAAGACAACCAGACCCCTCGACAAGCACTGGAGCGCGAATTCGCGGCTGCAGGCGCAGTGAGCCGAGGCCACCCCGCGCTCTGAGCCGCAGACCCCTTTCTACACACAGGCCCCGTCCCATTCTGCTCCCATCAACCCGAAGGCCCACGCGTCGCCCCCAGGACCCCACTTCCGTCGTGAGCACGGCGCACACACCCGTCGGCAGAGGGACGGGAACGACCCCCGCCTGCCGGACCCAGCGGGCAGGAAGGCAACCCCGCCAGGCTCGCCCGCCCGCCGGGGCCCCACGCCGAGCCCGAGCCCCGGCCCCGCCCCGCCGGAAGCTGGGGTCCTCAGGCCGGAAACTGAGGCCTCCTGCAGGCCGCCGGCGCGCGCCCGCCCCGCCCCCGCCTCGCGCGACCTGGGGCCGCAAGGGAGTCCGCGCAGGGTCTGAGAAGACCGCGGCGCCCCTGGGAGGCCCTCTGCGCCCAGGCCGGGCCAATGACCCGCCCCCCACCAGCCGAGGGCCGCCCGCGCTCACAGGGGCTCACTTACGAGAGCTATGGTCGCCGTCGCCATCTTGCATCCGTCGCAGCCGCCGCGCGCGCCACCCACTCCTGCTCCCTCCGCGGTCTCGCGCGATCTGGGCGCGGGCGCACGGGACTCTCGCGAGGAACGAGGTAAGAGCGTGCTTCCGGGGCGGGGAGGGACGATTAACGCCCCCAGGAGGGGCGACGGAAGGGGCGTGGCCCCGGCCGGCCGGGGGCGGGGCGGGGGGCGGGGCTTTGCGACTTCGGCGGCGGGGAGCGCGCGCCTTGGCGCCCGAACCGGGAGAGTCTGTCCGCGTGGCCGGCGTGGGTGCGCCTGGCGCTCCTCGCCGCCGCTCGCCCCTGCGGCCGCTGCTGCGCTTCTCTTCTCTGCCTTTATTGCAGAAAACGCCGTCGCGGGCGTCGTCCAGAGGCTCTCCGCGAGGAGGCGGGGGAAAGAGCGGGGCCTCCTGGGCTGGAGGAGTCTCGGGTGACGAAAGGCCCGCGTATTTCAGGCTCACGTCGTGAGATGCGTCGTCCTTGAGTCGCGACATCCCCGGGGTCGGGAAGCCTCGTTTTTTGGCAGCCTTTTCTCCGTCCAGGGATTCGTCAGCCCCCAGCGCCTCGGACGTATGCCCCAGCCACAGGTTGGCGGACATCAGTCGCTCGGCCCGCAGGCCCCCTTAGTCCCTGAACTGGCTTTCATGGCCCAGGGTGTCCATCAATGCTGCCCGGAGAGCTGCCTGTCCTGGACGTTTGCCGTCTGCTACAGCCGGACCCGAGACCTCAACACGGTCATCTGAAGAAGCCACACCTGTAGGCTCAGGCACCTTGAGCTGCCTGAGACCACAAGGCATCCTTTCTATGCAGCAGGGCAGGCCTCCTTTCAACCCTGGGAACGTTTGGAATTTAATACAGACACTTCTACTTAAATAGGGCAGGATATTCCCCACCTCCCTCCTGCAACCCTCTGAAATGATAGGAAAGGGGTTTTATAAAGATAAACCCTGCAAGGGCAAAGAGCTGGGGTATTGCAGAGCTGGAGGAAGGTGGACAGCCAGAGCTGCTGCCGCTCACTCGGCTATAGAGGCTGGTGTCCGAGGGTCGTGGGTGAAAGCAAGGCCACAGAAAGGAAACCTCAGACCTCTGTCCCTACCCGCTGGGGCTGGTGGGCCCTGCAGTGGCTGGGATGTGAGCTCCTGGAGAGGAGTTCCGAGGCCCTACTTAAGCAAGGCCCTATCTAAAAGCCTGAGAGTAAGTGAGACTCTGGCCCCTTCCCCTACCTCCACCCCTGGGCTGGGTCTGGCCTCCAGCATGCCATCAGGCCCCTTAGGAGGGTTCCTCTCTGCAGCAGCTCCCAGCTCAAAAGAAAAAACTGGCAACTAGGGGCAGAGGGGTGCCCAGTGGAACGGCCCAGCCAGATCAGTGGCCTTGAAGCTCACCAGGCCATAAGTACCAGCCACTAAAAGCATCTCACTCTTAAATGCATCTGGACAGCCCAGGATCACCAGACACCAGAGAAAGAAGAAAAGGGACTCAGAAGGAACAGAGACAATAAAGGAAACAGAAGAAAAATGAAAACTAAAACACCATTCTCAGAGATATTAAAGGTATTACAGCCAATAAAAAGGAACTGGAGGCTATAGAGAAAGAACACACGAAATGAGAAAGCACTCTTAGAAATAAAATATATGGGGGGAAAGTGAGCAATTCAATAGGATTTAAGATGAAGTCTTCCGCCTGGTCATGGTGGCTCATGCCTATAAGCCCAGCACTTTGGGAGGCGGAGGTGGACAGATCACCTGAGGTTGGGAATTTGAGACCAGCCTGACCAACATGGAGAAACCCCGTCTCTACTAAAAATGCAAAATTTGCCGGTGACACATGCCTGTAGTCCCAGCTACACGGGAGGCTGAGGCAGGGGAATCACTTGAACTCAGGAAGTGGAGACTGAGGTGAGCTGAGATTGTGCCATTGCATTCCAGCCTGACCAACAAGAGTGAAACTCTGTCTCAAAAAAAAAGAAAAAATAAAGTTTTCCAGAATGGATAACAACAAAACCAGATAGCTGGAAGACAGAATAGCAGTAACACAGGCGGGTGCTCCTAGGGCCAGCCTGGCACACAAGGCCTCCACAATGGAGAGGATGGATGGGAGGCAGGGGGCTGGTCTGCCACCACCACCAGGTGAAGTCATAAGCACTACCCTGTGGTGACAGCTTCCCCTGACAATAATGCACACTCAGGCATATGGAGCCCAGCACTGTTCTCACACATTCACTCGTGGGGTCCTCACAACCCAGTGCTGTGCAGAGGGTACAGCTGTTATCCCCCTTTTTACTGACGTGCAACATCACAAGGCAGGGAGCAGTAGAATGGCTCCAGAGCCTGTGCCCTTGCCACTGCCTAACTGCAGCTCAAAAGAGAAGCCCAGATCAGGCACAGTGGCTCACACCTGCCTTCCTAGCACTTCAGGAGGCTGAGGCAGGAGGATCACGTGGGCCCAGGGGTTCAAGACTAGCCTGGGCAATGTAGCAAGGCCACATCTCTACAAAAAAATAATTAAAAAAAAAAACCAGCTGGATGTGGTGGCACACGCCTGTAGTCCTAGCTACTAGAGAGGCCAAGGTGGGAGGATCACTTGAGCCCAGAAGTTGGAGGCTACAGTGAGCTGTGACCACACCACCTCACTCCAGCCTGGGTGACAGAGCCAGACCCTGTCTCAAAAAAAAAATTTTTTTTTAAGTCCAACGTGTAAATAAACTGCCCAGAAAATAAGGAAATGAGAGAAACCAACAAAGAGATAAATCAAGAAAATTTCCTAGAACCAAACAGTCATGTTTTCTGAACAATGGGTGTAAGGGAAGTTGTATATCAAGACATATCACTGAGAATTTCCAAAGGAATGGGACAAAGTAAAAAACACAGAGAAGAGATCACAGGTAAAGAGCCAGAATTCAGAAAGGCACAAGAGTTCTTGGAACTAGAAGAAAATGACATGACACCCTCAAAATCCTTGGAAGAAGTATTTTCAACCAAGCAAAGTTTTCTGTAACTAGTCACACTGTCAAGCATATGTGAGGTTAGCAGAAAGACAAACAGGTAAAGACTCCTTAGCTTCCTATGCACCCTCTTGGGAAAGTCGGAGGATCTTCCTCCTCCAACGGGGCACATGAAGGAAGAGGAAAGCATTCCAGGACGCCGGTGAAGAGTTCACCCATGCTGGGCCACGAGTCCAAGAACAAGCAGCCTGGGCAGGGGGCTCCAGGAAAACAGGAAACTGAGCAGTCAGTTATGTGATGAGTCCTAAGCTCTGAGAGGATATTCATGCTTGTTCAGGAAAGGCAAAAGATGATGGATGACAAACACATATAGAAAACTAGGCAAACAACAACAACAAAAAAACCTAGGCAATTATTAATCCCAGGGAAAACAAAAAGTTGTGCAAGAAATGCCATCCTAGAACACCCTGTTCTCGCCTGAGACGTGTGGTAATGAAGCCGTAGTAATACCCGTGCAGCTGTGATGCCCATCACACAGGAATGCTGCTGCATAAGGAGACTGAGGCAGGTGGCCACCCTCTTCCCAGAGGATGCCAGCTGGGGACACCTAATGTAGAAAAACTAATAAACCGGAGTAAAGGCATGCCCGTGAGTTTGAGAAACATGAACTCCAAATGCCTGAAGGAACAGTTAAGAGAGTTGAATTTGGGGAGGATCGGAGCAGGAGCCTGCACTTATTATTTATTATTGGCCTCAAAAAAAAGCCCATTCCACTTTAAAAGCAATATGCATATAATTCTGAACAGATAAAACTTAAAAGGAAAAATTCAACAGACGTGATTACGTGCAGCAATGGTAGTATTGATGCTGTTCAGTTTAATCACTAGTACAATGTTAGGTATTCGCCACTGAAACCATTTAGGACCATGCATAATCGGATAGCTTAGCATCAGGATTTCCATCTAGGATATGGAAATTATTTTAGATTTCGAAGTCTGAATTGGAAGGTGGGAGAATTTGAATTATTTTGTAAATAGTATTGGAATGGTTAAGATAACTGAGATTCACCATTTTGTACATTTAATTTATTTGATATGCCTTGGTAAGTCTTGCTTTGGTTTTTGGTTTTTTGTTGGGGTGCTGTGGTAGGCAGAATGCCACCCTTCTCCCACAAAAGCGGTTCATTCCTTCATCCCTGGAACCAGTGAACGTTAGTTTACATGGCAAAATGTGTTCTGCAGATGTGATTAATATTAAAAAGCCTTGAGGAGGGAAGTTGACCTGTGTGATCTGGTTGGGCCCAACCTGACCTCATGAGTCCTTAAGGACAACCTTTCCTGGCTGCAGAGAACCAGAGAAATGGTTCTTGACACAGACTGAACCTGCTGGCTTTGAAGATAGAGGAGGGGCCAAGAGCCAAGGAATGTGGGCAGCCTCTACAAGCTGGAAGTGGCCCCAGTTTACAGACAGCAACGAAGTGAGGCCCTTGGCCCTGCCACTGAAAGGGTGTGGATTCTGCCAGCAGCCTGAAGGAGCAGCAGATGGAGAGTCTCCCCTAGGACCTCCAGGAAGGAAGGCAGCCTGCCAGCCTTGACTCTGGTCCAGTGAGACCCGTAGTCGGACTTCCAGACTACAGAACTGCAGTAAGTTTGTGTTGTTTTAAGCCCCTAAGTTTGTGATAAATTTTACAGCAGCAGTATAGAGCTAATACAGTGGTGTGCCTTCCTGGTTTGACATTCGAAATGCTTTTTAAAAAGCATGAATGCGCTACATTTATACATACAACTTAAAATGTTTAAGGCCGTTTCACTAAATTTGTCGTTGGAGGAGAGGCAAGCCAAGAATCAAGAGGCCAGGAATGCAGAGGCAGAATCCATGAGGGCTTAGAAACCTCAAAGACTGAGCCACGAGTGGAGCGGGAGAGAGGCAGGGAGCCACGAGCCGGCATACTCAGTGGCCCCAGGGAGGAGGTGTGGGGGGTAACATGGAGGGGGTGTGAGTTTGAGGAGCAGAGAGGATGTGGGGTCCCTCAACCCTCCAGGCCAGGGAATGCAGGAGAGAAAAAGCCCATCGGAGGGGCTGCAAGGGCCAGAGGAGATCTGCAGAGGGGCCGCACATCCTGGCCTCAGGGTGGATAAAGGGCCAAGGAGGTGACTCCAGGGCAGAGCTGTGTGGGACCAGGGGCTTTGCTGACGACAGCCTCAACTCCAGACCTGTCTGTGGTCGGTTTCTCCTGCCAGGTCCCAGTTGTGCCCAGTGCCTGACACCTGCAGGCGTGTCACCAGTGGCTTGCTCTGCAGGCTCCGTGTGTGGGTCTATGGTGCCAGCCAGGGATAGCTGCTCTCTCAGACCCCATGGAGCCGTTTGCCGGGCAGAGGTCTGTTCAGCGCTTACCCTCACCCCCAAGCCCCAGAGCTGGGACTCCCTGCAGGGGAGGCTCCTGCATGCTAAGGAGGCAGTGGCCTTGGCCAGGCAGCCTGGGTAGGAACTCCCGGCAGAGAATCGGGGACATAGGAAGGGGTCCTGGGGGCAGCCCTGATCCTAAGGACCTGGGAGGCCCCATGGCTCCCCCATCCCCACCCCGTGGCACCTGGAGGCAGGGTCAGCCCCGCTCCACAGGAGGTGGGGCTTTCTTCACTACCCGGACCTTTGTGCTCCCAGGCACACAGTGGAGGGCGGCCTGGCAGTGCTGGGCTCTCCCCAACGTGGCCTGACCTGGGCAGCACCCTGGCATGGTCCCCTGGGGCTGGGGCACCAGGTCAGGCCTGGGCCCCGCGGTACTTGAGGAAGGTGCTCTCCAGGAAGGTGGCCAGCTTCATCCGGTCGCCCTGCGGAAGGAGGGAGGCATGGGGGACGGAGGGGTGCGGCCCGCCCCGCACACCCCCTCGGCCCAGCAGCGCCGCCCTGCCCAGCACACCTCGTGGAGGAAGCCGTAGTGCACGAGCTCCGCGGCGAGGTCCTGAGCCCTGTCCGCTGCAGCAACGGCGTAAGGCGAGGCATGAGGCGGCTGCGCCTCCGGCCGCCCGGGTCACCGCCCGCCGCCCAGGCCCCCTGCCCAGCCTACTTGGGAGCAGGTCGTAGGTCAGCTGCCGGTGCAGCCGGTCCTCCATCACCAGAAGCAGAGTGAGCTGGGGAGGGGGCGGGGCGCGGCCGGTGGGGAGTTAGGGGGTCCGCCGGGCCCCCGCCTTCCCCACGGCCGCGCCGTCCTCCCGGGCCCCGCTCACATGCCAGTGTGCCTTGTCGTCGCTCCTCTCCAGGTTGCACTGCATCTGGATGACCTGCAGCGGGGGAAGGCCGGGACTCACAAACCCAGCGGCAGGAGCACCTGCCACCGTGCCAGAGGGGCCCAGAAGGACAGCAGAGATTGTCCAGTCGGGAGTCTCTAAGAGGAGCCCATCTCACCGCTAGTGGCCTGGCAAGCTAAGGAACGCTTCTTAAAGAATCGACGTGAGGGGCTGGGTACTGAAGGATGAATAGGAGCTTTCACCACGGAGAGAACAACTTGAACAAAGAGCGAACTGTGGGCTTGGCCAGGCAGGACCACACGAAAGTGCACGGTGCCTGCGGATCAGGCCTCCGGGAGCCTGGGCGTCAGCTGAGGACTCCCATGATCTCTGTGGCCAGCTAGGAGCAGACAGTTTGCTTGCTTAGGACATGAATTCTGGCTGCACTGCACCGAGAGAGGCTGCTGGCCAGTAGGCAGCACTGTAGAAGTCTGGGGAGACACCAGGACACAGATGTCCAGGAATCGGGACCCGGGTAAGTTTTGGAGGAAGGATGGTTGCAGTGGGCTCAGGGCAGGCAGCAGGATGTGGGGGGAGGATCTGAGGGGACATGGAGCCTCCCAGAAAAGGGGGGTGTCCAGCCTGTCCTACCACCCACACAACCCCCACCAGAGGATCCGCCTGGATCCGGTCTCTGGCCGCCTGGAGGAGAGCTGGGCTGCAGGGATGCAGGCCCTGGGAGAAGGAGGGACACCTCTTGTCTGACTGCTGGAAGGTCTGAGGGCTGGCACTGAGCAGCAGGAGAGAGGCCTCACCTTTCTGGTCTCAGAGTCAAAGGGCTCTGGTGTTGGGGTCTTGGCCTTTTGGACCTCTTCTGCGGGTGGGGCCAGCACACGGGGCAGCCCCAGGGGCCGAGTGGCTGCAAAGTTCATCAGTGGGTAGATCCCATTCCTGGGGACACACCAGGGTAGCTGGGGACTCAGGCCTGACAGCTGCCTGGCCCCCGGCCTTACATCAGCTCTCACCTGACATCCTCCAGGAATTTGTCCAGCTCCATGAAAGAGACCTCCGAGTACCTGGCACGGAGGTGGGAGGCACATGAGGGGCTGGCCAGGGCCGCTGGAAGGGGAGGCTTCTGGGTGCGGGCTGCTCACCGCCACTGCAGCGGGGGCCTGCGGGGCCGGGGAAGCTCTGCCAAGACAGCATGCAGGTCCACGGCCTTGCTCTTCTCCTCCACCACGTTCTCAGGCATGAGGTCTGCGGCCGCAGGAGCAGCAAGGTGCTGTGCTCAGGCCTTGGGTCCTGCAGAGCCCCCTTCCACGTCCCAACCTCAGCCTCCCTGGCCACCCCCAGGCCGGCCTGCTGCTCACATTGGTGCTGGATGAAGCAGTGAGCTGCCAGGAGCTTCAGCGAGTGCACCTCGAACAGCACTCGGTGGAAGAGGAGGCTGTGGGCCGAGGGCCTGCGGGCAGGGTCCCGGGCCAGGCAGCAAAGGATGAACTCCTGGGGGTGGGGAGGAGGGGCTGGCGGTGTGCGGGAGCTCTCTGCTCTGGCCCCGCAGTCCGAGGAGAGGCAGCCCCTGCGTTCCCCGTGTCCCTCCTCCTCAGGGACACATGGGACATGCAGGGATGACCACAGGGAAGAGTCCCGGCAGCAGCCAGGTCAGGACCCGGTCCTCTGAGCTTGAGGACAGCCGGGTTCCGGGATCGGAGCACCCAGGCTCTGCTTCCCTCAACCCTCAGAAAACCGTGGGGAGTGGGAGCCATGATCCTCAAGTCACACCTGCAAGCCTCCTACCCACAGCCCTTTGATCAGCCCAGTGCCCAACACTGGAGACGACCATGTGGACAGATCCTCACCCTGTCCCCATCTGTACCCACTCCGGCCCCAGCTCCCCGCCAGCCCTGTGCAGGCACTGCCGGCTCCTGAGGCCATGGGCTGAAGTCTGGACTCCAAATAGAGGGGCTGGGGGTACAGCTTCCATCCCATACCTCTTTTGCCTTCCTGGCACCCACCGTGTCTCCCCACAAGCTGGAAATTTAAAATCGAGCACTTGGACTGAAGCCGACCCAGGTGCAGAGGTTGGCTCTACCACTTACTCTAAAGCCTTGGGCAAAAGACTCGTCTGTGAACCTCGGTTTCTTTATTGATAAAACAGACATGGTGATAGCCACAGAGAAAGGGTCTCTCTTGCCTTCTTGTTCTTAAAATGTGCTGACCCTTCAGGGCCTTCTGGCCTGGAACCAATATGTGCTCCCACTGAGGTCCTCTTTGGGAGGGTGCAGCCAGCTGGCACACTCCTCAGCTGCACAAACTGCGATGCTCTCCCAGGCCTGCCTGGAGCACCTTGCTGGCCCTACCTGAGCACCGTGAGCCAGCTGGGGAGGGCAGGGCAGGCTGCTTACCCGCATGTTGGGGTCACTCAGCGAGTGCCTGGCACGAGCAATGGCCTCCTCTGTGACCCGGGTGTCCCCGTTGGCCTGGATCTCCAGCACAGCCATCTGGGGCACAGAGCCAGGTAAAGCATGCGGAAGGGACCACACAGGTAATCCAGGCAGGGCACAGCTAGGAGGAGGGCAGAGCACAAGGTGGGGGTGGGGGGGCGGTGCAGTACCTCCAGCGCACACATCCCAAAGGAGAAGATGTCCACAGCGGTCCCATCGGCCACCTCTGAACGAGAAAGAGCACAGGACAGGTAGGACAGAAGCGCAGGGCAGGCACGGGGCACCCGGACCCAGAGCCACTCACCGCCATACTCTGGGGGGAAGAAGTGCAGGTTCCGAAGCTCGTCTCGCTCAGCGCGGATGGGGCTTCGGAGGTCGTCCGGCAGCGCTGCGGGAGAGCGCAGAGGCTGAGCGGGCCGGACCTCTCCAGGACCCCAGCCCTCCAGAATTCGCACTTACCATTGGAGAAGATTCGGTGCCATACTGCCAAGGGGCGGGAGAAAAAGCGGGGTTAGGTGCTGGGGCGTCGTAACTCCTGGGCCCTCGGCCCTCGGCTCCAGGAACCTTCCCTGCCCGGTCCCCCAACCCCCCTCCACCCCGGCGCCCAGCCCTGCCCGCCAGCACCGGAGCCGATCTTGATGAGGCCGTTGTGCTGAATGAAGATGGTGTCGCTTGTCAGATTCCCGTGGATGATGGGGGGGCTGCAGGCGTGCAGGAAGCTGCAGACGTGGGGAAGGAGCAGGCAGGGGGAGGGGAAAATAGGAGGAGCCGGTCACGAGGCGCTGGAGAGAGGGGGGATCCGCGGCGCAGCGCCGGGCCAGCCCAGGCCCTCACCTGAGCGCAGACAGGATCTGTGTGCACCAGCGCTTCCAGGCCTGGCGGCGGACGCACGACTCCGTCGGGTGGGCGCAGGAGAGGTGGCTGGGCCTGCGGAGCCCGCCCCCGCATCCGCGCCCAGCCCCTGCCTGGGGCGCCGGGCACCCCCTCCCCATCCCAGTCACCTAGGCTGCCCCAACCTCATCCCCGACCCCATCCTGCTCCCCGGCAGCCCCAGCCCTGCTCCCCAGGGTTGCTCCCCAGTCACTGAGGTTGCCCCAACCCCTGTCCCGAGCCTATCTGCTTCCCGGCCGCCCCAGCGCACTCCCCATACCCGGGCGTTCATGGCCTTGTGGTTCTTCTTGGTCTTTTTAAGGAACTGCTTGAGACTGCCCGATGACACGTACTCTGTGATGAAGATGACCTGCAGAGTGCGAGCTCGGGATTTCCACCAACCGGTTCGTCCCCACGCCCGCCCCACCTGGCTGTGGCCTCTGCCTGCCCAGGGCCTTGCCTGTGCTCACCCTCGCGCCGGCCTCGGAGGCGTCCAGCCAGTACTTGTGCAACTTGACGATGTTGGGGTGGTCCACCAGCACCAGCTGCTCGAACACGGTCTGGATCTTCTCCTGGGGAGGGAGGGTGGCCGCTGGGTGGTCAGCAGGTGGCCACCCGGGCAGGATGAGGAGGGGGCAGTGGCCTCACCTCGTGCGCCGCGAAGGCCTTCCTGTCTCCGAAGTGGAGCTCGTTCCACACCACCTCTACCCCTTCCTCTGTGTCCATGGCTAGGAAGGTGCTCTGAAGCCCTGGCATGTTCCCCTGATTCACCTGGGTCGGGGTGAATAAGGGGTTATGTGTGCCCTGGTGTGTGTCGAGGTTGTGAGTGAGGACTTGGTCCCTGTCCACACCCTTCCGGTGGGCCCAAGCATGGGCTGCAGGCCCTGAGCCAGTCTACGGGAAGGTGGGGGCTTGAAGGGTGGCTGCCCTCAGGAGCCAAGGGCTCCTATCCAAGGGCTGGGCTAGGGGAATTTGGAGCAGGTTTCACGGGGTCTCGGGGGATTCCCCAGAGAGCTAGCGGCTGAGACCAGAGGCATGGGGAGGTGGTCCTGGGAGGAGACGGGCGCTCAGGGAATCCCAGGGCGGCCGCCAGGGCAAAGGGGTCCAGGGGTGGCAGATTCGCCCGCCGCCTGAGAGGCTGCGGAGAGGTTTCCAGGCGCCGCGCTCTTCCAGCGCCCCCACGCCCCGCGCGGCCTCCAGGCCCCTCCGGCTCATGGAGGGCGGTGTCACCCCGTGTCCCCGACCCCCGCGCCCACCTGCTCCCGCCGCTTTTGCCAGCGACCACACGGGCTCTCCTCCAGGATGTCGCTCTCGTCCTCACTCTCGTCCTCCCGTTCCCGCTCCCGGGCCCGCCTCGGCGCCGGCTCTGGGGCCGCCATGGTTCGGCCGATTCAGGCCACCGCCCTCCGCGCGATCCGCCGCCGGCGCCGCCGCTCCCGGCCCGTCCTGGCCCCGCGCCCGGCGCCCAGCCTAGAGCCGCCGCCGCCGCCGCCGCCGCCGCCTAGAGCCCCAGCCCCGGCTCTGGGAATTGGGAGGCGCCGGCGCGCGGCGGGCGGGCGGGGCCCGGGGGTGGAGCCGGCGCGCCCCTCCGGAGCCGCCTGTGCCTGCCGGAGCCGGAGCCTGGCGTCCCCCGGAGCGGCCGAGCCTGGGCAGCACCCAGGCCCCGCCCCCGGAGCCCCGCCCCGCGATGCCCCGCCCCAGGCCCCGCCCCAGGCCCCGCCCCGCCGCGCGTTGCCCCGCCCCCACCGTGACAGGTCCTCCGCGAGGCCCCTCCCAAGGCCCCGCCTCACGCCTAGAATCCCCGCCCCGCACCGAGGAACCGCCCCCAAATCCCCGCCCCCTCGGAGGCCCCGTCCCGCGCACGGGAGCCCCAGGCTCCAGCACCGCTCCCGACCCGACCCCTGCCCGCGTCCGGAACCCGGCCTGGGCGGCCCCACGGACACCCGGGGCCAGCAGCAGCGCACTTCGCTCGCGGCTGCTCCCCCAGGATCTGGGGGAAGGCCAGGGGCATCTGGGGCCCCCCGAGCCCACGGCACCCTCCAGCTGCGGGAGCCCCCGCGGGCTCGAAAGCGGGGCCTGTTCACTGGGCCACGCACCCCACGCCCCGGCCGACCCCCAAGGGACAGGTGGGAGGGACACCGAGGGCGAGAGAGAAGCCCACCAGCAGGCTGGCCCGGGCTGGCTTTCACTGGTGGCCACAAATCTCTCCCTGGCCCGTCGGTGATAATGTTGATCAATATTTATTAGCATTCTCTTCTCCAGCCCACGAGCCCATCTTACCACCTTCCAGGGTGGAGATTTTCTCTTTTCGCCTCAAACGCGCCCCTCCTTTCTGCGGTTGGCTCCCCTGGGACAGTGGAACCATGAAGGGGAGCCCCTGGCTCACAGGGACTCTCCCTCCAGAGGCCACTCTGAGCACACCCTCCAGCCACACCGACCACCAGGGCTCTCCCCAGCTGCCGCCTGAAACCCCTCAGCCTGCAGCCCCTACAGCCTTCCCGTGGCCTCCTCCCTCTCTCAAGGCGGGTCCTCCTCCTTCACTTTCTGTCTCTGGAGCCCAAATGCCTGTGGCTGTCAGACTGAAGCCCGGCTGGAACTCCTGATCCTCTCCTCCGCGAGGCTGCGTGCTCTGGCCATTTGAGACTCCTCTTTCTTTGGCAGAACCACATCCAGCCCTGCTGCATCCCCTGTGGTCGCTCTTTCCTGACCCGTGTTGGTCACCAGGCCCCCTGTGTGTGGCTTTCACCAATGCCAAGTGATCCTGCTGAGACCTTCTGCAGTAAGGTTTGGGGTGTTCAAATCCTGCACCCTGAAACGGGCCCTGACCAGCTCCTGGGAGACACCCTCTGAGCCTTTGGCAGGTTCTGCCTGATTTGAATGTCTGTGTTTACCTGGACCACGTCAGAGTCTATGCCAGGCTTCTCCAACCCACAGCCCACGGGGGGCATTCGGCCCAGGACAGCTTTCAATACCGCCCAACACAAATTCTTTCTTGTTGTGATTTTTTTTTTTTTAAAGCTCATCAGCTATTGTTAGCATTAAGTGTATTTTATGTGTGGCCCAGGACAATTCTTCCAATGTGGGCCAGGGAAGACTGAAGACCGGGCACCCCCGGTCTGTGCAGACAACGTGGTCCATGTCAGGGGCCTTGGGCCGTGTGGCATCCGCCTGACCTCTGCAAGGACTGGAAGCCGAAGTCAGCCACTTGGGAGGTCAGGCGTGCCTGTGTGACCAACCCAATGAGCACCCTGGACACCAAGGTGCAGAGAGCTTCCCTGGCCGGTGGCGTGCTGTGCTCATCGTCACACCTCGGTGCCGCGAGGTTGGGCACTGTCCGCACGCCTGCTCTGGGTGGGAACAGCTGCAGACCCATGCTGGTCTCTCCTCGATTCTGTTCCGTGAGTCCTTGCCACTGCTGATTTTAACGCATCCGTTGCTGTAGTAAATAGTATCCTTTCTGAGTTCTGTGAGTCCTTCTAGTGAACCACTGAACCTGAAGGTGGTTTTGGGGAGCCCCCAGTGGTCCCTTCTCTCCTCGCGTGAGGGCCTAAACATGAAGGCCCAGTAATTGGTCTCATTACCCAATCTCATGTCCCCTGCCCTCTCCAGCTGAGCCCACCCCAAGTGCACGACCCTGTCCCATCCATCAGACATGACAGGTACTTCCCCTCAGGGTCTCTGCCCTGGTTATACCTTTGCCCAGAATGCCCTTCCCAAACATCCCCTGAGGTCGCTTCCCGAGAGGCCTATACTGGTCACAAATCCAGACATCACATTTCCCATCCTCCTTCCCCTGCTTGACTTGAATTTTCCTGAGGCATTCACGCCCACCTGACTTGCACGTGGGTTTTTCTCATCTCTCTTCGTCACTGTCTGTGTTCCTGTTGCGATTGGAGCTTCCAGAGGGCAGGGATGTCTGTTCTTTGTTCCTGTTCTTTCTCTGGTGCAAGGTTGGTGTCTGACACACAGCAGACCCTCAGCAAACACTTGCTGAATGGATCTGTGGGTGGGCAGGGGTGTGTTTTTTGGGGGGAGGGCTCGTCCAGGGAAGACCCTAAGGAGATAAGGCTTGAGCAGAAGAATCTCAACAAATTTCCTCCCCTTTCTCTGCCCCCATAACCAGACACACATGTTCTCTGGTAGGTCAAATGGAGTCCCAAAAGTCTACACCCTGATCCCTGGTACCTAGGAGCACAAAAACAATGGTCCTTGCAGATGAAAATAAGTTTAGGATCTTGAGATGCTGGGGTGGGCCCCAAATCTGGCGTTTGATGTCCTTATCAGAGGAAGAAGAGGGATACTTGGGGTGCAGATAAATAAGGTAGACAGTCACGTGAACATGGAGGCCAGTATTGGAACAATTGTCCACAGGCTAAGGCATGCCTGGGACTGCCAGGGCCATGAGTGGTGAGAAGAGAGGCCTGGGATGGATTCTCCCTTGGAGTCTCCAGAAGCAATCCGCCCTGCCAATACCTCGATTTTATACTTCCAGCCTCAGGTACAGTGAGTAAGTCTGTGTGTGCTGTTTTAAGCCACTCCTCCATCCCTCAGTCCTGCTCTGGCAGCCGGAGGGGACAAGCACACGCTCTGGGCATGGTAAGAATAGCAACGTGACAACAGCTACATGTTCACATGCAGCGATGCGTCCCAGCGCATATTCATTCCCCCGACTCCAGAGTGTGTCGGACTGCTGCCCGCCCATGCACAGTGGTGGTGGCTGCTGCGGCACGCCCCCCCGGCCTCGCTCAGGCTGTGCCCAGGGCAGGGGCCCATCCTCCCTCCAGCTCTGCCTCTAAGCTTGTCCACCCCTTGATCCTGCCAGGCCATTTCAATTTATTGGAGGTTCTCTAGGGCTGCTCTTGGCCATGGAGCCATCACCTGCCCTCTTAGCCTAATCTGTGAATTGGGTCTTTTTTTTTTTTTTTTTTTTTTTTTTTAGAGACAGGGTCTCACTCTTGCTTAAGGGATCCTCCCACCTCAACCTCCTGAATAACTGGGACTATAGGCACATGCCACTGCACCCAGCTATTTTAAAAATTTACTTTGTAGAGCCAGTCTTGCTATATTGCCCAGACTGGTCTTGAACTCCTGGGCTCCAGGGATCCTCCTGCCTCAGCCTCCTGAGTATCTGTATCTGGGAGTACCGGCCTGAGCCACTGCGCCTGGCCCCCTGTGCAATGCCTTGTGACTCCCAGCTTGCAAATCTGCTAGGGCTCCATGGTTGTGGCCTTAGAGTCTTCCCAAGCCTCTCTCTCCTCTGGGGCATGCAGGTGAGCTGCTGGTGAGACGCAGGTGAGATGGTCTCTGAATTCCTGTAGACCTTTTTCCCATGGGCAGGTGGATGATGCCCCTGGCTTGCGGGGCTCGGGACTGCTGTCCTGGATGCCTGGAATACTAGGGTGGGAGAAAGCCAGGGGGTCCCATTCTGGGGGCTCAAAGGAGCACCAGAGGGCCCCTCTCACTGTCTGCCCTGGCGACTCTGCCTCCTGGTCTCCTGCCTCATGTGAGGTCCACTCTCAGGAGTGTGGACTAGACTGGGTGACGTGCTTCCAGGGCAAGAACACAGCAGAGGCACTGGGCTGGTGCCTTCAAGATTGGGTGGTGGAGATGGTGGCTTGCTGGCTTCCCAGCCGCCTCCAAGGAAGCGCGTGAAGCATACACATGGTCAGAAACAGCCGTTTCCAGACAGCAGCCGTGAAGCAGCCAACAACCAGTTTGGAAGCTGGTACGTGGTAGGCGCGCATGTGTGTGTGTGTGAGTGTGCGCGTGTGAAGTACTGATTAGAAATAATTATTGCCAAAAAGATTTCACAGGACAGCAATATAATCATACATAAATGCTAAGAAATAGAGGCATGCATACAGCATACAGATAAGGCCAAGAGCAAGTGGAAGGTGAGTGACATCTTTGGTGAGCTCTTCTCGGTGGAAATGGCCCTCACTGCTGGTGTCTCAGCATAGGCAGCAAACTGCTTGAAAGGACTATTTGTGTAACAGTGAGACAGCCAAAGAATTCACATCACTCACTCCTTTTTTGTTTGAGGGACCTTTACCCGCTTCTGCATGTAGGTCAGGATAATCGCAGAGCACTGAGATAAAACAGAAGAACAGTAGTTTTCATGTAGTTTTTGAAACTCAATCTAGGACTGAAGGGGAAGCATGTGAACAGCTAGCTATGTTTTGTTGAAGATTTACAGGAGCATCGTGACCTGGAAAGGACGAGGGAGTTCCCAGCCACCTCGGACCCTCAATGGCACCCAGTCGTCCACAGTCATCATTACCTCTTGATCGCAAGCCCTCCTCTCTCCCCTGCCCAAACATGAAAAGGGCCCAACTCTCGTACTGACATGAAATGGTTCCTGAGGGCGCTTGTCCGCGTCTGCTGGGCTTGCTGCTCGTAAAATTGAAGTTGCCTGCGGGGCGCGGTGGCTCACGCCTGTAATCCCAGCTCTTTGGGAGGCTGAAGCAGGCAGATCACCTGAGGTTGGGAGTTGAAGACCAGCCTGACCAACATGGAGAAACCCCATCTCTACTAATAATATGAAAATTAGCTGGGCGTGGTGGTGCATGCCTATAATCCCAGCTATTTGGGAGGCTGCGGCAGGAGAATCGCTTGAACCCGGGAGGTGGAGATTGCAG